ATTTTAAAGACTAATTTATGGTTTTTACTTGGAATATAAGATTTTCTAATTTTTGATTTAATTTATTCCGAAAATTAAATATATTTTATTTATGTTGTGAGTGTAGGAAAGGTGTTGCATGCTTAAAACCTAAGGATTTGGACTAAACATTAATTGAGAGTGAATGGAAGTGAGAGATATCATGAATGGTGGAGGGGCTTAACTTGAAAGCGTTGTTATGACATTAGGAAGAACTCTATATTACCTTAAATTAAGGATTTAGGAATTTGTGTAGGGATTAGTTACTTATACTTTTTTTTTGTATGTCTATTCTAGATTTTAACCGTGTGGAAGGAAAGGACTTAACCGTACAAACGAAAGAGGTGCACGGGTTGAGGTAGGTGGAATGAATATTCTTCTAAATTTAGAAAACTTTAATTTCATGCAATTACATAGAAATGACAATTTCTTTTATGCTCATTATGACACTCTTATGACTCATGTTCCCTTGTAAGTTTATGGACACTTGAAGCAAATTCAAATGTTTCACTTTATGAAAATGGACAACTCATGAATGATCCCCATGCTCTTTTCTTTACTTGTACTACACATGTTTTTATCTCTACATGCAATGAACACATGAGCATAGCAAGCACACACATTCATATGGAAATATACACTTGAATAGTTTATGATTAGCTTACATAGAGGTTATGAATATGTAAGTATTAAATGTATGTGCATGTTGACGCGAAAGTATCACATGGTAAAGGATGCTCCTTTGAGCAATGGTAAAGGAGGCTCTTATGAGCCATGGTAAAAGATGGTTCTTATGAACCAATGGTAAAGGAATGATCAATTTTATGTACTTGATCAGTACAAGTGATACTTTCAAGACAGGTGTTATATTTATATATTAAGCTATTATGAATATTTCATATTCATGTTATATGCATTTGAGACTATCATTTGAGGCATAATATTTTAAAAGGAAAATAATGGAAATGTTATGAAAGGAAAAAGCACTTGAAGGTTGAGGTAAAGGTATGCATCTCCTTAAAACAAAAGTTGCTATATGTTGATGATTCCTTTGTTAGAATATCTAAGCATGATATAGTTTTCTTCTTTTGACTCTAAATTTAATTGAATTTCATTTGCACCTATTGAGTTGTGACTCACCCATGTTGTGGGATGCTTTTCAAGAGGATTTAGTAGAGAATAGATGGCGGATAGACCTCCCCTCATGTACCGTCATAGGGAGACGACGGGCGGCAGGTTTTGTTTTGGTTATTTTGATGTTTTGTATAAAAGGTTTAGAGATTTTAAGTAGGAAAATGATTTTTGGATCCCCTTTTGTATTTTGTAAATTCAATGTTGAATCCTTATGTTGATGTTTTGAATAGAAGAAATGAAAAGTTTTTACTTGAAAATTCATTAGTGGCTCTTTCATTATGTTTGGTTCATGTTTGGAGATATGATAATTGTGTATTGTGAAGTTTTTTTTATTAATTTTGACTGTCTGAGTTTCGTTCCCGCCTCGCACTTGCGAGCTAACCGGGTCGGGTCGTGACAAACATCACCTTTTTTTTCCTAAAGCATGATAAGCTACTATAAATATGAACAAATACCCCAACATAATGAAAGGAAATTTCAAGTTATCAACATGACGCACAAACGAGTAAGGTTTTTAGCAATAAACCCTTAAAAGTATTTTAAAATAATAATATCATAATTATAATATATTTGTATATACATATATATAATTTAATCGATTAGCTTGATAAGCTTTCGAGTCGAGCCAGTTTAAGCTCGAACTCTAGCACATTAATTAAACGAGCTCGATTATAGGCTCGAGCTCAAAGCTCGATAAGCTCGACTCGCGAGCTCGTTAACGAGTCGATTTCGAGATGGCTCACGAACCGGCTTGACTCACTTACAACACTAATTGCAGCCAATATAAGAAAATAAATAATATAACCTACTAACATGCCGCTAAAAAAAGTAGACAAGCTTAAGTGGGGAATATCAGTTCAGGCAATGAGAAGGGCAAAATGTCAAATGAATAAGTGAGGAAAAAAACCAACCTAAGGCTAGTCAACATGCTAAAAAAGCCCACATTCATATAACCAAAATTCTAAAAAGCTCTATAAAGTTGGTACTACTATATATCATGAAGTTTTAAGAACACCAATCAAATAAATAAATCATAATACACAAATGAATACAATCATTAGGATCAAAATGCTTACAAAAGACACTGCATACTTTGAGCATAATAATCTTAATGCTATAGCTCTAATCCCCATTACTGAAAGAGAGGCTAATAGAATGAAATACCACAAATCAAAATTGAAAGATGAAAAATAGAAAAACACAAATCCAACATAGGTGAAAAAATAAATCAAGAGGCCGTGTAAATTTGTGGAAAATACTAGCATTACAGTTGAGAAAGAGAAGAATATTAATATAGATGAACTCATATAGGCTTCTTATCTAACTATCGGGGTAATTTCTCAATCAAATACTCTTAAAATTGAGACTTATATTTTACATGTTTTCAAGATACTCTAAAAGGATTAAAATACGAGAATTAACTAAATGGGAGAGACTTAACTAGGCTGAAAAGATAATTTGAGAAGCTAATGGGAGATTCAATAGGAGTATGTGATCCTAAAAATATTAAGATGCTTAAGGGTGTTATCCAATGTTGGATTATTTACATTTTAATGTTAACTTTGAATTTAATAATGAGTGAATTGAATTAATAGAAATGTAACTTAAATTTCATTATCAATAACCAATTCATTTTTTTATAAATGCCCATAGTGTCAAGATTTATGATGTCACAATTAAGAATATGAGTCAAAAGCCAAAATCTATGATTTGGAATTACATTATCATAATGATAATATAACAATCCCAACTCTTAACTATCGAGATATTGTTCGCTCTGGCCTAAAGGCCTTACAGTTTTGTTCTGTTGGTGTAACTTCCCAGGAGGTCACCTTTCCCAGAATTTATACATGATGAGCATGCTTAACTAAAGAGTTTCTTAATAAAATTTTAACAATTACACCACAATACGCCTTGATGTTTAAGAGTTTTATCTTTTTTTTACTTAAAGGATTTCATAATCTCCACCACTTAAATAATTGACATCCTCGTCAGTATCTTTATTCCAGAATCATCCACCAAGTAAATAAGATCCTAGAGGTGGCCCCTATAAGTTCAAGTGATGACTCCCTTCATGTAACACTTTGTCTCATACATGGTTTAAGAGGTGGCTCCCATGACATAACACTTTATCATGTACTCTTGTATGACACTTAATTTTCATCATCCAACTGGTGTATTACTCTGATACCATTTATAAAGCTCAAACTCTTAGCTATTGATATATTATCTGCTTTGGTTTAAGAGACTCACGATTTTGTGATGTTGGTGTAACTTCTCAAGAGGTCACCCATCCCAGGATTCCTCCGTGTGAGTATGTTTAACTGTGTAGTTTCTTAATAAAATTCCAACCATTACACCAAAAGACTCCTCGATGTTCAAGAGTTTTAACTTTTTTTTTTTTACTTGAGAGGTTTCACAGAAAATGCACTAGACCTATGCCTAATATAATAAGTGATTGTGATAGGACTCATAACTTCAAATCTTGAGAAGGTGAAGGAAGTTATACATTTGGTCTGACAATTTCATATGGAAGAGACAATTAACAAGGCCCACCTAAGGATTTGAAAATCACGCTGTAATAGTCTCAATGCATGCAAGATAACCATAAAAGGTGTTAATGCAAATTTAAATACAATTTTTATTTAATTAATTATTCTAATGTTAGAGAGCATTTGGTTTAAGTATGAGACCAATAGAACTGTATATGGTATGCATTAATAGAAGGTATTTGTTGATTAGAAAAGTGTTACCACTTTATGAATGCTATAAATAACTAAATCATTACATATATATCTATAGAAATATAAAGAATACAAGAGTTTATTTTCTTAAAAAACATGCTTAAAGAGAAGCCAAATACTTTTATATGAAAATATAAATTGTGATTGAATTTAGAGCTATTTAAATAAATTAAGACTAGAAAATATATGTCCTAAAAAATAACCAAATGATTTGTTACAATTTTTGGTCATTACACATCACATGAAAAAAATTATAGAATAAGGAAAATCAAATTCATTGCAATAAATCAAATAATATAAGCAAATTTATCAAAATGTTTAAAGGTTGGTTCAATTGGGTACTATAATAAGTCCAAAAAAAAAATTTGATATCCAAAATTCTCAAAGTGCTTGGTTCAATTAATTTATCAAAATGTTTTATGTTTTTAGTAAGTTTCTAATTAAAAGGGTTCCTAACAGGTGAACACATTCGATCTTGAGGATTATGTCACTCCAAAGTCCTACGATATTAATGATGTCTAGAACCCATCGTGAGGTGGGTTAATAGAATCATTTAGTGCATTCAAATAATTTGGTTGAATTTAATAATATTGTTTAGAAATTAATTTGGCATGTGATTGAATAAGTTTAATTAAGAAAGTTTAAATATTTTGAAACTTTTTTATGAGCTTTGATTCAATGTAAGCGCTTTAATTTGGATTTTAAGGTTTTGTTTGGTATGGCTTTTCTATTGCTTCTTAAAGCAGCTTTTTAGTACAAATTTTTTAATTTTTGTATTAAAAAGTTGCTTTAATAAGCAGTAAAAAAGCCGTCCCAAACGAAGTCTAAGACTCTTTCAAATTCATGCTCAAGAGCAGGCTTTATTTATTATAATTCTAACTATAATTTTGAAGCACAAATAAAAAGAATCTATTTGACTAATATGATAATTTACTTTAAAAATGATATATTATTAAAAAAAGATTATGTAAAAATCTATGAATTAAAAATTATAAAATAAAAAAACGTGATATTTTCTCTATCCATTCAAATAAATAAATCTCAAATACAATTTTGTATTGATTTTATTATTATTATTATTTGATGTGGCATACTCATTTAAAAGGCCTTAATTCGTACTCGTCGCAGCTTAGAAGAACCCTAACTCGAAAGCTTCTACGGCAACGCCGCCGCTGGTCGTTCTCTCCGCTGCGTGCCAGCCAAGACCTTTCTTGGTCTCCTTCAAATGGCGGATCAATCGAAACCCTATTTCTCTGTGGAATCAGCTCGTAAGCCCTCGTCCCGTAAACCCAACTCCCTCACCCCCGAATCCAAGTTTTGGCGCTCCTTCAAGAACTCTGAGCCAACCTCCGGCCTCATCCTCCCCGTAACCTCGCTTGATTTCTCTCCCAACCATCCTTTCGACCTCGCGGCCGCCTGTTCAACCTCCGTACTTCTCTTCGATGGCTCTTCTCTCTCCCCCAAGTCCCACTCCCCCCTCTCGTCCTTCACGGACATTGCATACTCTCCCTCCTTTCGCTGCGACGGCGCCCTCCTCGCTGCTGGCGGTGAGTCCGGCCTTGTCCAGGTCTTTAATCCCCTGAGCTCCGGCCATGCCATCCGTCGCCTGCGCGCTCATTCCCGCCCTGTTCGTGTCGTCCGCTTCCCTCGAGTTGCCGACAAGCTCCATCTCTTCTCCGCTGGAGACGACGCCCTCCTCACCTACTGGGACGTTTCCACCGAATCAACCCTTCTTTCGGTTCCTGCCGCCCACCGCGATTATATCCGTGCGTGCTCCCCCTCCCCGATCGCCGCCGATGTCATCGCCACTGGATCTTACGATCATTCCGTTAAGGTCTGGGATGTCCGGATGTCTCCAGATTCCAATCAAGTTTGCACCTTTACTCATGGGAACCCTGTAGAGAGCGTGCTCTTCCTTCCATCTGGTGGTCTCATTGCCACTGCTGGTGGGAATTCAGTGAAGATTTGGGATGTGATTGGCGGCGGGCGGCTTCTTCATACAATGGAGTCCCACAACAAGACGGTCACTTCAATATGCCTCGGCAGAGTTGGCAATGAAGGCGCTGGCTCCTGTGGAGAGTCAAGAATCCTCAGCGTATCTATTGATGGGTATTTAAAAGTTTTTGATTTTGCTGCTTTTAAAATCACTCACACTGTGAGATATCCAGCTCAATTGTTGTCGGTCGGATTCTCTCCTTCGGGATTGTCTAGAGTGGTTGGCACATCAAATGGAGTTATTTATGTTGGAAAGAAGAAGGTGAAAGAGGTTGCCTTGGAAAAGGTTGGTGGTGAGATTGATCGGTCTTTGCCGGAGCCAGAGAAGAGGGTTTTAAGGCCTACTCATTATAGGTATTTTCATCGTGGGCAGAGTGAGAAACCTTCTGAGAGTGATCACGTTGTGAAAAAGCCAAAAAATCTGAATTTGGCTGAACATGATAAGCTCTTGAAGAAATTCAGACACAGAGATGCACTTGTGTCTGCTTTAAACACCAGGAAACCTTATAGCATTGTGGCTGTTTTGGAAGACCTGGTTGCAAGAAGGAAGCTTTTAAAATGTATTGCAAATCTGGACGTGAATGAGCTTGGCTTGCTATTTAGATTCCTGCAGAGGAATGCAACAAAACCAAGATATGCAAGGTTTTTGATGGGTCTGGCAAAGAGGGTGCTTGAGATTCGTGCTAAGGATGTTCAATCTTCAGAAGAGTTGAGATTCTATATGCAGAATTTGAAGTGTTTGGTTAAAGAGGAGTTGAGGATACAACACTCACTGCAGGAAATACAAGGAATGCTCTCACCTTTGCTTGTGATTGCTGGGAGATGAGGCTTTTGTTATAGCTTTCCTGGTGCCAACCATGTCACTTGCTGGTTCTTGCAAGGTATACTACCTTACCGGTAAAGGAATTGAGTTTTTGAATCCTCATAGCATAAAATTAGAGTCAAGTTAGAAAGGCAAAAAAAAAAAAAAAAAAAAAAAAAAAAAAAAAAAACTGTAAGAATTTCTCTTAATTTAAGTAGTTTGAGCAATAACAATGAAAGTTGGTTCAAATGATGTCCTATTTATAAAAAAACTAAACCCTAGTTAAGAATGAAGCATCATTATCCTTATTGCATCTAACCAATTTAATCTAAAAATAAATAATGAAAATTAGGCCATAAATGGCAATGGCTTCAGAAAAAAAAATGAAAAAGGGTGATATTTAGTTCCTTTGCCTCCTTGTTGAGACCTTAGGTTTTTCCTATGAGAAGCTGAGTTTGTCTGAATTGAATTGGTTGAGGATGTTGCATCTTATATCCTTTTAAGTGATAATCTCAATTTATTGGGGATTTTTTAGTTAAAAGAGTTTGGCGTTGCACTTATATGCAATTATAATTAATTAAGGCATTTATTTGCAGAATAATTTGAACTAGTTTTTTTAACCGGTGATTTCATAATATTGTTTTGTTTAGATTGTTCTTTAATTTGCCACTGATATTACCGCAACACTGATATTATAGCCAAGTTTAATAATTTCACTATAGTTTCAATAGCTAAGTACTTTGTTTTTAACTCTTTTTGCTACTTCCAAGAAGCTTTCAAAATCATTATTCCAACAATAAGAATTACTGTAGGCTAACCACTAAAAGAATGCGAAATTGGGCTTAACTGCCGGAAAGAAATGATTTTTTTTTAATTATTGTTTCAGTGATGCATACATGCAAATCTTCGCATTTTCGAAGTTTTTTTTTTTTTTGGGAAATGTGTTTTCTCCCAAGTTGCATTTTGCTTGAATACCTGGTTCATTTTCAATCCTTGATCTGTTAATGTCGTTGTAAATCCATTGAAACATTTAATTCAATCATTTTTTCCTTAAATGTATTAAAGGAAAACTTCTCAGTCCATCATTTCTAAGAGTTATGAGCAATACGAAAATCCTTACTTGGATGCCAAGAGTGTTCTAGGAGTTAAAATAATGGAATAACTACTTGATTTTTAAACCTTTAAAGACCATTTTATTTATAGTTAATAAGTTTTTTTGGATTATTTTTTTTTTCTCATTTCTTGAGTTCTTTTACAACCAATCCCAAGTATTCATAACAAGTAGAAGAAGAATAAAGTTGATTTTTTCCATTTTTTTTTTCCACAAGAGCAACTTTCATAAGCTTATTTACTTTTTCAAAGATGTGTATGAAGAAAGCGTGTCAAAACGCACATGTTTCATTGATTGAATAAATTGGAAACGATGCAATTGAATGGCCATGAACTGGCACTTCTGTGTTTGCTGATTGTCATGATATTTTTCAGAACACTTATCACTTTTAGAAGTGATTTTAAGTTGAACCTAGCTAGGTGCTAAATATCATTTTATATGTTCCTTCTAATTGTAAAATAAAAAAAAATATGAACTTTAAAAAAATGTTCCTTTTAATTATCTTTGAAGGTTTTGCTTTCCTTCTGTATGGAACTGCATTACGTGCAGAACCTCCTAGACAACATCTGTTATCTTTGGCCAGTAAAGGCAAAAAATGTTTTAGTGCATATTACTGTTGATTAATGATTATGATGTGTTGCCTTTGGCTTTTGCTAATAAATTTTTTGTTTAAGAAAGGGATAATTAATATATTGAATTGCTTTGAATCATTTTTCGGACGTTAGTTTCTCCACGCTTCAATGAATAACCAATGCCTCTTTACTGAATATGTTAGTATGGCACACTGGCAAAGATGGAATTGTTTTCCTTACAAATTTAAATGTAAATAATTCATCTACAGTCACATTATGCAAGGACATTTTGGCAGCTTTTATTAACAATGGTGGGTGTGGGCTAGATCACTAATGCGATCAAATTGATGAATGAGGGGCTCTCCTAAGATACAGAGGAGAGTAAGGTTATATTTGATGGAGTTTAGTTTTGAGCGGAATTTGAGTTGGGAATATGTTACTGGTTGGCCAACCCAATTCCAACAATTAGTCCAGGATCTAGAATCCTAGGTTCTAACCCTAGTTCTTTATATTCCGAAGTCCAAATGAGAAAAAATAAAAGCCAAATTGAAAGGGAAGATGTCTATTTATGATTTGGATATTTTGGTGGATGTTTGATATTTTTCCCTAAATTTTCTTTGAAATTGGTCTGAAAATTTTCCTCTTTGGATGTAGATTGAACTGAACTTAGATTTTCTAGAACTTTAGATATTTGTTAATAAAAACTATAATAAATGCATGAAAATCAATGTTTGAGATGTCTATTATGGTTCTGGAGTTTTTGATGATTTTTGGAGCAATTTTAAAATTAAAGAAAATAAAACACAAACAAAATTCTATCACTCACCAAGGTAATAGTCCTAGCATGGCCAACCACTAAACTCTAACTGAAGGGATTCTTCATTCAATTTCAGACAAAAAATCCCATTAACTTCTTCATTCCACTGATTAAAAGTCTTTTATACATGCTTACATGAGAGGTAAATTTTAAAATTGAAAAAGAGAGGCAAGGGGGGAGCTGTCCACTAGTGTAATTATCATGTACCACCTCTACTCCTCCCTCCTTTACAATACTTGACTGGCCACTACTCACATATGTAGGCCGGTCATTCCACTCTAATTTTGCCACTTAATTAGGTTAATTAAATGACTAATATATAAAGTTCCATAATACACAACCAAGGTTCACATAAATGCAATTACAATTTTAAAGACAATACTACATATGAGACAATATAAACACATAAAGATAATAATTAAATATTCTAATTTTTTATGCCTATTTTCACTTTGCTTCTAGTAAGAAACCCTCTTGAATCTTATAATTGGACCTCTCTTTTCCTTAATTAGCTCCATGTGCTACATTATTTTTAGGCTTTTTGTTAATGGATAGTAGATTGATAATTCTTAACCTTAAAGTTTAAATCAGTCGTTTCTACTGGTTGAATGTTTATGTAGCATAGACACTTCTAGAAATTCATGAAGTTTAAATCACTCATTTCCATTGGGTGAATGTCTATGAAACATAGAAACTTTTAGAGAACTATTGTGTTGGATATCATGTCATATAGTCAGACACTATAGAACATTTTTAAATTCTATTTGGCATATGTTTCATTTTTTGTTTTTTGTTTTTAAATAATTTTCACATTCTTAGGCTACAAGATTAGACTCAACCAATGTGAATATAACCATGTTGTCAAATCAATCTTATTGAATTTCTATCTCATTTTTTTCTCAGTTATTGTCTATTAATTTTTGCAATCTCTTGACTTGGCATATTCCAGCTCACAAATCATGGAGTTTCAGGACGTTTGAACTTTCAGGAGATTGATATTCCATGGGGACTATGACATATTATGATGGGTTGATTCAATCCTGCATTCTTTATTTACATTTTGTAAGCTTTTATTCTACCGTTGTACCCTCTATAAAAACTTTGACAGCATGCAAAAGTTTCTGGTTTTTGTAGATGATTACCTTGTAATCTTCAAGCCAATTGATCATTTTAACATGCTGTGTATTGCCAAAAATTATAAAATTCTATATCACAGCAACTTCTGCACTTTTATTTATTTCTATCCTCGATGCGGAATTCATTGATTTCTTTTTAAGCCTGTTTTTAGTGAGTGAAAGATTTAGTTCATAGCATCAAGGAAATACCTCCAGAAACATGATGTACATTAATGAATAGAGTATGAGACCTCTTTAGTGTGTATTTTAGTTTTCTTTTTCCCTTTAAGGATAGAAATCTATTCAGATAAATTTTTTTATTTATAAATAGATTATAGATTTTTACCCGTTCTAAAAAATTTCAGATTTGGGTCAATCCATTTGGCAGACGGGTCTTGTTCGGGTTCAATATACTGACCCGTTATTAAAACCGGGTTGAGTTTAGGTTAACCCAAAAACTCGAATGTGATTTGGATCCCACAACTCGTAGCCCGTATTGCACCACGTCACACGACTCACGCCTACATTCCTCACTGGGCGCACTGCGTCACACTCGTGGCTCTCATGCGGTTGTGGCCTGCCTGGCCCCTGGCCCCCCGTGTGCGTTGCCGGCCTCGCGCACCTAATGTTCATTGTTCGTTGCCAGCCTTGCGTCACACCAAGAGCTCGCACCCACATGTGTTGCCAGCCTCACGCACCCTCACTCGCCTCGCACCCAGTATCTTTGCACCACCCAGGTTCTAGATTTCAAGGATGATATTAATAAGAGTCTCTTCTGGCTAATGAGCTGAAAGTGGGAAGAAATTTAAAGAAGAACAAAGCAGAACACAAAACTACATCACCATGGATGACGCTTCCAAAAACTTCCTATTCTTCGTCTATGTGTAGGCCACTCATCCTCCATCGAGATGATATAAAATTGTTCCATTCGTTATTGATTTTTCTTCAGCTTCAAGGGGTGATGAAATGAGCAAAGCTATGAGTAAAAAGTATTTAATGGTGCTTCTACCGGGCAATTTTTATCTGTTTTATCAGCAATGTTGCCTTCAAAACATGGCCTTGATCATTTGTGGAAGTCATCAGCTTGTATGTTCGAATCCAGCCAACAAGAATTTTCAAATTTGTGTTAAACTAGTGTAGTATAAGTTTAAGCTCTTATCCATATGCTTTTATTTCATACCCTAAAATGCCATCACCTTCATAGCTTGGAATGCCATCAACGCAACCCATTAGGCCTTTTGCTTCACTTGTATAAACTTGTTGAAAGCAACCATGTGAAGTCTAAGATTGGCATTGGGTCTAATAGTTTGAGATTTTGTTTGAGACGGTTTTTTTATTGTTTTTTAAAGTTATTTTTAGTATAAAAAATTTATTTGTTGTATTAAAAAACAGTTTTAAGAAGCAATAATAAAGCCATTCCAAACAAAGCTTGAGCTAAAATTGGGCCTTCTATTGTCATTGGAGTAAAAATCTGAGAGTGGTAATTGGGGAAGCTGGGATCTGATCTGAGAGGTGGTTATGGGAGAGGTTAAGGTTGTTTGGGACAGCTTTCTTGTTGTATTTTATAGCAGTTTTGTAGCACAAAAATTTTATGAAAATAACGAAAAAGTAGTGGCTAAAAGTTGTCCCAAACAAAGCCTAAGTGGCTCATGTGTATCCTTAGTGAAGGGTTACATTGAAATCAGTGATAGAGCTTTCTTTGGCAGGAAAAATTATTCTGTTCGATGTCTGGATGCGCCATGTCACCTAGGGCCCTGTGCATTCGGTGACGTGGCCCATCTAGATTCGCCTCCGGATGCATTCAAACGCCGCATAGAATAATCTCTCAATTGATGGTGGATGAGAGGTGCAGTGGGGAGCCCATTAACATTTCATGTCATTGATGTTAATTGCTTTTCCAATCTTTTGGTAATTTTGTGAAATAGGTTGTGGCTTTAGTTTAGTGATGACCGGCAGATTTAAAATCTAATGCAACCAGTAATAATGGTGAAGCCAAGATTTTTTTTTATGTGAGCGCATAAGTTAATTTTAATATTTGGAGAGGGCATAAATTGAAAGATTATCATTGAAAATATTAAATAGCAAATGCCTATAATATATGAAAATATTAAAAAATTTAGAGGGTGGAGGAGCATAACCCCCACATAACCCCTTTCCCTAACTCCACACTTCATAGAGCTCCAACTTAGATTGAAATCCGTTTTTGTGAATGATTTCTCAACTTTAATGCTCTTAATAGTTTTGGTAGGAAGATTATAACTATTCATGAGAGGATGGCACAAATTAGAATAAAAAAAAAATGAAAAAACAAGCTCATTATTGTTTTGACTAGTAATTAAATGAGAAATTAACTAGATGTAGTGGTTTGATGATTGATTTTTTTTTTAATTCAGAATTTCATTGATTTAAAAGGCACACTATGTTGATCTACTTTCTTGATGTTAAGATTTCAATTGGGAAATTTTTTTTAATTTTAATTTTTTAAAGTAAATTTTTAGTACAAAAATTTTTAGTTCAAAAAATTTTTATATTAGAAAGTAGCAAGTAGTTTGTCCAAATGAAGCCCCCGCCAAGTGCAAGAGCCCAAACGTTCATATCAATTGATGGTTTTGGCATACCTGAAGGAGGGGTTTAGGCTTCATTTCGGGTAGCTCTCTGAAGCAATTTATTAGTAGAAATATTTTATGAATTGAAATTTTTGTATTAAAAAATTATTTTAGGAAGTAATAAAAAAGTCAACCTAAACAAAACCTTAATCACAAACCCAATTCATAAGGCTAGATTTTAGTTTCGATGTCTTCTCATGCTTCAATATTTATGAATTTATAGAATTAATCAAAGGAAATTTTATTAATATGAGGATTGAATTATTTTTTTAGTAGTCATTCTTATTACAGCTGCACTGTTGCCATAGTTTGGAGGCTGATAGTAGAAAAATAATATATTAAAAATACATTTGAATTATTTAGCTGAGTATACTACAAACATCCAATACATGTGTTTATTAATATTATTTTGTTTGATTTGAAGTAAAATATTAGTACGTTTAAAATAATAGTTGATCGGAGGTGGTTGACGTTAACTGGTGGTAGTTGGTGGAAGTGGTGATTGATGACAGTGATGGTGGCTAGTGGCAACCAATAGAGGTGGGTTAGAATGGACGATAGTGGTGGTCGGTGATAGCTAGCATCAGGTGATGAGCAATGACGGCGACGTGGCCAGCATTACTTTACACCGGCTACATATTTTGAATTCATCTAAATCAGTTGAATTCTAAATGTATTGAAAATGCCGTCCTAATTTTTAAAACTCCTTAGTTTATTTTTTTCCTACATTCTTAATATTACTATTAAATAGCCACTATATTTTTTGTGCAAATATTTTTACCTTTGTGAACTTGAAGATCATCTCTTTCACTTAAGAACTAAAGATTATATTGAGAAATGTGTCTAAATCGGCTTCTCAATAGCTCCTTTCAACTGTGTTAGGCTTCGTTTGGGATGGTTTATTTATTGCTTTTTAAAACTGAGTTTTAGTAAAAAATAAAAAAATTTGTACTAAAACTCCATTTTAGAAAGTAATAAAAAAGCCGTCCCAAACGAAACCTAAATGTCTGCTAGCTCAGGTTTATAGAGTCCTTCCATGTTGCTCGAGGCTGTTATTGATTTTCATAGACTCTGATGGCATTTTGCTCGAGGCTTCCATGCTTTATTTCTCTGTTGAGAACCTTCTGTTAACGTTGAAGGAGAAAAAATGTGTGATATCCATCACTTTATTTTCTACTATGATGATGTTGTGATTACTTTCTTGATTAATTAATAATTGATCTGATCCGAAATCCGATTTGAATTCGACCCGAAAAATTCTAAGTTTGAGTCAACCCATTTTGCAAATTGGTCGGTTTGAGCTTTCATTTTTTGACCCGTTTATAATTTTGGGTCAGATTCGGATTAACCCAAAAACTTAAAATCAACCCGAAAATGACTTGGGTCACCCCCTCGCCCACAACGATCCCGCACTCACGCCCACATCGATCCCTCATGCGCTCTCGTTAGCACCAGAGCTGCACCTGCGTGAGCACCCGAGCTCCAAGTGAAAAACGTTGTATTGTGATTGATAACATGTGCTGAATTGTATGATGTATTGAAATGATTGATAGGTACTGGATTATAATATTGGTTTGATTGAGAAAGGAAAGGATATACTATATTGATACTAATATTGATCTAATAGAAAAGGAGGTACTGATTGATATCATATATATGGAATGATAACCTTATAATGAAACATCGATATAATGAGTATATAGCAACAATTTTAGGGCAGAGCAATGATTTTAGAGCAACAATTGGGAGTTATAAAAAGTTGGAGTTTGTTTGGGAGTCATAAGTGCATGAGCAAGATACCTTCACATGAATATCAGATAGAATACTGATTATTGACTATATAATACTAATCGCTAATGATTACTAGTTAATGTTATTGATACTGTAGCTTACATTGTACTGATGTTGTTTACTGTTGATATTATTACTATTCTTGATGATACTGATCATTGCTATTGATATTATGGACTGCATGTGATGTATTATAAATTGAGCAATTAATACAAATTACTAACATAAATATTGATGCATAAATTTTTTATATGATTTACAGTATATTGTTTTGCTTCTTCTTGCATTGATTTTAGTGGTAATATTTTAGTTACTTGTTGGGCTATTCAATCATTACGTGGTTTAAATGATTTCAGGTAATAAACATGCAGCTTGAGATTATGTATGCATGTAGTGATGCTAGTGTAGCTTTTATTTCAATTTTTTGGTTTATGTATTCTTTTGTCGTCAGAGTGGCTATTATATATACAATTTGGACTCTACTGTTATGATGTATATCTGGACTATAGAAATATGAATTATGCTGTATGCTATTTATTGGTTCTATGTAATGAAATTAATCATCTCTGAATACTGATATTGATCTGATTTCAATGGTTGATTAATGAATAGCATGAATCGACAAGATAATAAAGATTGAAAAAAAAAAAAAGAAAATAAATTCTTTCACTATAAATCCCAAAGCGTGACATTGACAAATTTGAGCATTTTTGTAATGTATTCAA